CAGCACCGAGTGCGAAGTGCTCCGCCGCTCTTTCGTCACCTGCGCCGACGCCCGCGTGCCCGTCACGCGTGTCCGCTTCCGACCGCTGACGGGCCGCCGACACCAACTGCGGCTGACCGCCTGCCACATCGGACACCCGATACTCGGCGACCTGACCTACGGGCCGCAGTGCCCGACCGCGCCGCAGTTCGCGCACGCCTGCACGAGCCGCATGTACCTGCATAGCGCCAAACTCCGCGCCGCGCTGTCGGACACAGAAGTCGTCGAGCTGCTCGCGGAGCCGCCGTTTTGACGCGCCTACTCCCGGCTATCCTCGCTCTCGGAGTCGCCATAGCAGATGTCGTACTCCTTGAGGTAGCTGCGCGGGTTGATGTCCAGCTCGTTGTTTTTGCGCGAAGAGTTGGCGCGGACGCGGTTCGCGGTCTCGCTCTGCGTGATCAGCTTGGCGACGCGCTGCTTGAGCGTGTTCAGCTCCACGTTGCTGAAGCGCGGCACCGTCGTGTCCAGCAGCGTCAGCATCAGGTGCAACAGCGACTGGCTACTGACGCGCGTGCTCTTCAGCTCCGGCACCAATTTGCCCAGCAGCGCCAACACGTCGCCGTGCCGCTCGAGTTTGATCACGAATTCCTCGGGCTTCTTTGGCTTTCGCCTCTCCAGCGACTCCGCGTGGTTCGCCTTCGCCAACTCAATCAGCTCCGGCTCCGAGTCGTCCTCCGAGCGGTACGGCTCGCAGTCGCCGAGCAAGTCGCCTGCCAACTGCCGGTCGCGAATCTTCTCGAGTTTGCGCAGCCGGCGGCGCTCCAGCTCCTCGTTGTCAAAGTTGGTGTTCAGGTACTCCGGAATTACAGAGCTTTCCTTCTTCGCAACCGCTTTCCGTTCCGGTGCCTTCGGATCACTAACGACTTCAGGCTCTTCGGCCTTTTCCCAGTCGCTCAGGACGTCGTCCTCCGTATTTAGCATGATTGAATTGCGTATTTTATATATATGCGATGCATATATTTTTAATAAGCAATCTCGCTCAAGATTTCGTCAACGAAGCGCGACTCGCTCTCTTTTTGCGCACCAAACTGCAACTCACGGAAGAATGCTTCGCAGTAAAGCGGTTCTCCCCTGCGCTCGGGCTCGCGCTCGCTGAGACCCGCTCGCGACCTGCAACACTCGCCTTCTGCAGGCTGCACGGTGTTCTCTGCCGTGACGTCAAGCTGTGCTGCGTGCCCGCCGCGCTGATCAACGCGTTTGCGAGCACTCAACTCGACTTTTTCGCCTGTGTCGAGTCGCTCTACGACTTCCTCGTTGACCGCCACTTCGTCGGCTACCAGACCGTCTCTCCTGCTACTACCAGCGCGACCGCTTCGCCGAGCGCCAGCGAAGCTACTGTCGAGACGCCTACGCCAGGCACGCCGCCAATAGACGAATCTGCCGCAGGTGCACCGCGTCCCGTTCTTCGTGCTGACTGCGACAATGACGCCGCGGTGGACATATCCGCTGCTGCACCGCAAGCCGCGGAAGCTTGCAACGCAGAGGTGCGCGACGACGCCGAACACTGCCCTGCTCCGCCGCCGCCCACGGCGCTTCTGCCAACCGACGTGCGGCGCGTCTGGTCCAACTGGCGCACTGTCAAGATGGAACACGCAGTCGTGCACTTGATAGTCACGACTGCCGCGTCGGCTGCCGAAGTGCCCAGTTTTTCTCAAGGCGCATTTTTGCTCGATAGTGCGCGCAGGAAAACTCTGGTCGCGTCGCTAAACTGTCTGGGCGCGAAGCAGCGCAAGCGCTGTGCGTTCGAGCAGGTGCTCAGTGACCCGCTGCACCGCTTTTTGCACAACGTCAACGAATGGCTCGGCAGCAAGCCTTCACGCGTGCTGGTCGTTCAGAACATCCACGCCTGCCGTTTCGGCCTCGCCGAGTCTGCTGAAGCGCAGATCATCGACGCGTTCGAGCAGAAATGTCGACAAGTCGGCACATTGAAGCGCGCAATGCTACACGTGCCAGTCGCCGCGCCGCCGAACGCGCACGAGCAACAGCTGAAACCCAAGCTATTTCTGGAGTTCGTAGACCTCGTGGCCGCGCGACTCGCGCAGCTGCAGCTCAACGGGCTCGTGTTCAACGAGAACGTGATTGTTGTCTCGTTTTACCCTGTAGAGCTGTACGCCGCCGGCATCTTCTCGACGCAGGTGACTTGACAGGAAAGCGCGCAGGAACTGCTCCGGCACGACTGCGTCGCACAGCTCCATTAAGCAGTCGGCGGCGCAGTCGCCCGGCCCCAGCGCGCTGACGATTGCGAAGCGAGTTTTGTTCGTCAGGAAGCCGTACGCGAAGCGCGCAATGTCTGCTGCGGCTTAGCCGCACTTACTGTGCGTCGCGACGTACACAGCAACGTTGTCCGCATTTTCAAAGCTTTGCGCGTGCATTGGACTGAGGTAGTGAAAGCCATTCGGGCACAGGCGCTCCAGCACTGGGACCAGAGCCCACAGCACTTCGACTTGCGACTCGCCGTGCGTCTGTATGTAGACTCTGGGCGCTTCTTCGCTGATCGGCGCCATTAATTACGCTATATTTTCTAATGTCGCAATTAGTGTGAAGACTAGCAGCAACATGGCGCAGCTGCAGGCGCTTACTGCGATTGTGGGCGCCGATTGCGAGCGCTTCTTAAGCTCGAGCGCGACTGCCGCGGAGCCGTCGACGTTGGCGCTGGCCGCTGACTACGCGAGCTCCGCACCTGCAGCTCTCGAGCGCGCTGCGGCTCCTGCGCAGGACTACGTCTTCCGCATCTCCAACTGCGTGTTTATCAAGATTCTCGGGAAGGGGGCGTACGGCGAAGTCTGGCTCGCGCAGGACTTAACGATCAACAAGCTGATCGCGGTCAAGAAGTTCTACGCTGCGAAACAACGCGACGGCGTTCCGAAGACCACGCTGCGCGAAATTTCGATTTTGCAAATGCTGCACGACTGCCCGAACGTTATCCGCTTGCTGGGCGTTGATTCCAGCTGTCCGTCGACCTTTTTCCCGTTGGACATCACGCACGCGCGGCTCGCTGAGTTTTCGCCGGAACTCGGCCGGCTCGAGAGCTGCGTGGCCACGAGCCGACCGGACGGCTCTGCGTTTGTCGAGAACTTCGAGTTCGACTACGACGCGAGCGGCGACGTGCAGGGCACGTTGTTTCTCGCGTTCGAGTTAACGCCGCTCGATCTCCACAAGTACATCCATCGCACTTTGGAGGCGCGCAAGACCATTGCGCTGCCGCGACTGCGCTCGATCGTGAGGGACGTGCTGCGCGGGCTGCACGCGATGCACAGCAGAGGCTTCGTGCACCGCGACATTAAGTCGGGAAACGTGCTGCTCAGTTTCAGCGGCGTCTGCAAGCTCGCCGATTTCGGGCTCGCGCGACCGTGGCTGCGGAAAAAGGACGCGATTTGTCTAGACTCCGTGAACGAGCCGGGCTTCGACCCCGCCGTGGAGTGCAATCCGGATTTGACCCACTGCGTCGTCACGCTTTGGTACCGCGCGCCAGAGCTACTACTGGGCAGCACGGACTACTCGCCGACCTGCGACGTCTGGAGCTTTGGTTGCTTGCTGTACGAATTGTACACCCTTCACCACTTGTTCCAAAAGTGCGAGAACGAGTTGGAAGTGCTCGCGAAGATCGCGGAGTGCATCGCCGAAGAGGACGGCAGCTCGTGGCACGCGTTGCGCCAACTTCCTCTATTCGAGGCGTTCGCCAGCAAGCTCGTCACGCACCGGCGCAAGGACTTGTTCGTCGGACTGCTGAGCTACGGCTCCGCAGACGTGCAAGACTTGGTCGACCTCATGAAGCTCTGCCTCACCGTGGACCCCGAGCAGCGCCCTTCTTGCGAGAAGCTGTTGCGGCATAGCTTTTTCACAAACGGTTCGTACGAAACCCCGGAAATCAGCATCAGCCATATCACTGTCGACAGCGACACTCCAGCGCTCGCGATGTCCCGCAAAACCTCGCACCGCGCGCTTTCGGCCGCCGCAAAGCACTTCCGTGTCGGCAACCAGGTTGCGGCTGCGCGCGAGAAGCACCTCAGCCGCGCCGACCAGCTGCTCAACTCGCTGAATAAGTGCGGCGACCGGTTGAACGCAGACATTGCAAAGGTCATCAGCTCGCTCGAGAGCGGCCAGGACGCGTTCACAGCGTCCGAGGAGGGCGAGATCTAGCGCGCCGCAAACGGCAGATCACTCCTGCTGAGCAAGCCAGCGCACGCGCGATTGAAACGGTGACGCGCACGCCGGCGCTCGGGGCTCTGCGAGAACTGGCGCGAGCGCGCTGACGGATTGGCGGCGGCGCACCGTTTTTAATTCGCAATATTTATCGCTAGTTTTCCACGAAATGTCCACCACTAAACCGCTCAACGCGTTTCTCGCAGAGAAAAACCGCGGAGAGAGCGTCCGCAAACAGAACGGTAAGTCCGGGCGCCAACCACCGCAGTCGACGCGTGCATGGCGCTCACGAAGATTTTGAGCACCTCGCTTGGCCCGAACGGGCTCGACAAGATGCTAGTCAACAAGGTGGGCGACGTTACCGTCACGAACGACGGCGCGACGATTTTGAAAAAGCTGGACGTGAAGCACCCCGCGGCAAAGGTGTTGGTCGACCTGAGCATTTTGCAGGACGACGAGGTCGGCGACGGGACGACTTCGGTGGTGCTGATCGCGGCGGAGCTGTTCCGCAAGGCGCAAACGCTAATCGAGCGCGGCTTTCACCCCGGGTTCGTAGTCCGCGGGATCAAGGCGGCGGGCAAGGAGGCGTACCGCTTCATTCAAAAGAACCTGTCGACCGTGTTGACCGAGTCTGACGAAGAAGTGTTGCGGAACATCGTGCGCACTTCGCTGGTCAGCAAGATTGCGAACGCCGAAACCGAGACGTTTGAACGCATTCTGCTGCAAGCGCTGCGCCGCGTGTCGCACGTCGATGAGCAGGGCAAGACGCGCTACCCGGTTTCGCGCATCAGCGTGCTGCAGGCGCAGGGCGGCGCCGCGAGCGAAAGCTTTTTGGTCGACGGCTACGCAATGTGCCACCTCTCGCGCATGTCGCTCGCGATGCCGGCTGTGGTGCACGACGCCAAGATCTGCTTCATCGAGTTCAGCTTGAAGCAGTACCGCGCGCCTCTGGGCGTCGAGATCAACATCAAAGACCCCGCAGAACTCGAAAAAATTCGACAAGTCGAGAAAGACATCGCGAAAAAGCGTGCGATGGCGATCGTGAACAGCGGCGCCAACGTGCTGCTTTCGTCCGAAGGCATCGACGACTTGTCGGAAAAGTACTTCCTGCAGCACAACTTGTTCGTCGTGCGGCGTGTGCCGAAGGAAGACTTGTTCAAGCTGGCCAAAGCCACGGGCGGCAAAGTGCTCTGTTCGGTGTCGGACTTCGACACCGAGGCAATCGCCGCGAGCGAGTTGGGCACGGCGGAAAAGGTGTACGAAGAGCGCATCGCCGAGTGGAACTTCATCTTCGTGAGCGGAACGCGCGCGCAGGCCGCGACTACCGTGTTTCTGCGCGGCGCTAACCTGTGTCTGCTCAGCGAGCTGGAGCGCTGCGTGCACGACGCGCTCTGTGCGCTCTCGCGCGCGCTCGAGTCTGGCTCGGTGACCGCCGGCGGCGGCGCGACCGAGACAGCGCTGGCGCTCTTCTTCAAGGAACGCTGCCTCGAGCTGGAGCCCGAGCTGTGTGCAACGTATCAAGAGTTCGGCGAGGCGCTGCTGGTCATTCCGCGCTGCATTTGTGTGAACGCCGCGCTAGACGCCACGGCAGTCGTCGCGAAGCTCGTCGCGACGCACGCGCAGTCCTTCGCAGACGCGGCGTATGCGCACCGCAGCTTCGGCGTCGACATCGACTCGGGCGACGTGCGCGACAACTTGCGCGCGGGCGTCGTCGAGCCCACGCAAATTAAACTGAAGGCCATTCGCTTCGCGACCGAGACGGCGATCACGCTACTGCGCATCGACGACGTGATCCGCTGCGCGCCGAAGCCGCAGCCCGCTGGCCAGCCTACTGCCGGTTAAAGCTTTCGTAGATGTGCGCAATCGACAGAATGTCGCGACACTCGCCGCAGCGCACGTAGCGCGCTCCGTACGGCACCAAGTTGTTCGTGTTGCACGAGGGGCACAACACCGACAGCACCTGCGGCTCGCGCGGCGTGACTTACCTTGCTGCCCCGCGACGTCGTGCTAGTCACGGCGTTCATCGTTTGGCAAGAGGTGCACTGCACGAACTGGCCTCCGGCTTCGTATTCGAGGTTCAGGCAGCAGCGGTAGCAGATCAAGTTCGACTTCCGCGGCGACTGGTTCACCGGGCGGTTGTAGCTGACGTCCATCGCTCGTTTTTATCGATGAGTCGGTGCGCAACTTTCAATAAAAAACATTAAAATTTGCTGTTTCCATTGCGAGTTCTGAAAATACGCCCAGAACAGGAAAACCGAGGCTGCGCTCGGCGGTGCAGGCACGGCGCGCAGCGCGCTAGATCAGCTCGTTCTGCTCGAGCAAGTCCGTCGCTTTGAGGTTGTACCAGCCGACGGTGCGCAAGCCGTCCGCAAAAGACAAAAAGATGCGGGCCAGGTAAAAGTCGATGCCCGCCTGCTCGTCGCGACCGACCCAGCGCAGCGCGTCGATCACGTGTATCGGCGAGGGCAGGTTGTTCAAAATGTCCGCAGACATGCGCTGCGAGCGCAGCGCGTTTGAGCGGCCCAAGCCGATTGTCTCCGCCATCGCGTAGTCCGGCGAGAAGACGCTGATGAGGTCATAGAGCCGGTTGCCCAGCGGGATCGGGTTCGTATTGAGCCAGGCTTGGACGCGCTTCGGCAGCTCCGGCAAGTCGTACCCCGCGGGCACTCCGCTCGGACAGAACTTCTCGAAGTCCGCCGAGTAGTCCAGCCACAGCGACAGCTGCCCGTCGTATTGTTCGTAGCTGCTGATCGGGTAGCGCGCGCTGCTCGGCAGCTCGCTGACGTAGGCCATCGAGTGGAAGCCAGGCATGCGCAGCGCACTGTTCGTCGCGTAGTACAACTCGCGGCCGTCGCCGCAGAGCGTCTTCGAAAAAATCTTCCCGCCCCACAACACGTGCAGCATGTCGTTGAGGTGGTTGTCGCCCGCCGGACTGTACACGCGGCCCTTCATCACGCCGAGCGGTACGCGCGTCGGACTGTAGCCCAGCCGGAACAAACAGTGCATCTCTGTGTTCGAGTAGTTCGCGAGCGCGCCGATGTCCGGGACCAGCGGAATGACCTCCTTCGCGTCTGCGCGCGCGCGCAGCGCCTGTGCGCGCTGGTACCAAGACGGGTCGCTTTGGTAAAACTTCTCGCACTCGGGAGAGAACAGCGGGTCGCCCTCCCAACGCATCATCAAGTTCTTCGGCGCCCACAAATCCAGCGGAGTCGCGTACACCGGCAGCGCCTGCAGCAAGTCCGCTACTCTGCCAAACATGTTTAACGTCAAGCCGTTCAGAAAGTCGGTCGCTTGCGCGTTGCACAGCGAGTTGCGCAGCAATCCGATCGACAGTAATCTCAATGCCCGCATCGTTCTTTTATAATTCTGACTTATCTCGCACACACCGCGTTCCGAAAAGTCACTCACACGGAGATTTCCCGGCGCAAAATAACGCGGCCGCCGTTTCCACATCCACGCGCTGTATCTCTGCGCTCGCGCGGTGCTGCGCCAGCACCCACGCGGGCGCCATCAGCTGAAACGCGCGCCGCACCGACTCGCTCAGCGCGAGCTGCGCGAGCGCCTGCACCGCCGCGTCGTCGAAGTGCAGCGCCTCCTCGCGCGCGCGAAGCTCCATCAACTCGACGGCTTCCGCGAGCGTCATCGCGCTCGTGCGCAGCACCACCAACCGGTCGAGAAAATCCGGGGGCATCCCGAAGACGCACTGCTCGAACGCGCCGCCCGTCAGCTCCGTCTGCGAAACGCGCAAGTCCGCCTCGAGGCGGTTCGTCGCGAACACGAAAGTGGGACAGTTCTCCGACTCCATCAACTTGTTCAGAAACGAGAAGCACTCGACGTCCAGCGCGTGCGACTCGTCGATGAACAGTACGCCCGGAAAAATCTCCGCGCGGCCCTGTTCTTCGTGTCGCAACACCAGCCGGTCAACCTCCAGCCGCAGCCGCGCGGTCGCCTCGCCGCTCTTCGGCGCGCGCAGACTTGCAACCAACGCCGCCAGGTCGCCTTGCTCGTTCGGCTGGCAGTTCGCCTGGTCCAAGTCGTGCAGCGTGACGTCGTGCACCTGCTCGCTGACGCTGTATACGCTGCCGCGCGGCAGCGCGACGAAGTCCTCGAGGTCGACCTCCGACGTGTTCGCGTGGCTCTCGCAGCGGCCGAGCCGCTTAACCACGCCGGCGTCCGCCTGGATGTACACCACGTCGCCAATGCTGATTTCCTCGCGCTGAAAGCTGCTGTGCAGCGAGGGCGCAAGCTTCAGCGTCAGCGTGCCGTTCGACGCGCGCAGCGTCGCCACAATCGCGCTAACCACCTTGTTCAGCCCGCCGTGCGGGTTCGCAGACTCCTGCAGCGCCATCGACATCAGTTCGCCCTCGTACACGTTTTTCACTTCGCGCAGCCGCACGCCCGTGCTGCGGCGCACGTACTCCATCAGCGCCTCCGTCTTCTTGATTTCGCGGGAGAACAGCTCGGACGCCGAGATGTGGCAGAAAGGCGTCAGCGGGCCCAGCTGCTTTTTCAGCGCGACCGCCAGCGCCGTCTTTCCGCTCGACGGCGGGCCCACCAGCAAAATGCCTTTTCCTCCGAAACGCTTGCTCTTGATCAGGTCGGCGAGCAGCGCGAGGCCCAAGCGACAGTCCTTCTGTCCGACCAGCCCGCAAATCACGCTGTCGTCCAACTCGCTGAGTCCCGTCACGCCCAAGTCTTTCACGTGCGAGTGCGCAAACGCGCGACAGTCGGTCTTGCTCGTGCGCAAAGTGCGCAGCGACTCGTTCTCCATGCGGCTCGCTGCGCGGCGCCACTTGCTAATTTAAATCTTAAATCTACAATATTAGCTCGAAGTCCGCGCCCAGCGGCCGCGGCGGTTCGCAGTACTCCTCTGGCGGCGCCGCGGCGCGCAGAGCGTGCGCCGAGCGCGAGTGCAGCCAGCCGCACTCTGCGCGCGCGAGCGCAACGCCCGCAGCCTCCACGTCGAACTGCATCTTTTTCGCCAGCATGTACCAGTTCGCCTCCACGCTCTCGTGCCGGTCCATCTTCTCGACAGACTCTTTTTCGCCGCGCAAGTAAACTGCGTTGCGCAACCCGCCACTTACCGAAGTCCACCTGGTCGCGCTCCTTGCTGACCGCGACGTCCACGATCCCCGTGACGTCCGACTGCAGTTTCAGCGCCACCTGCTTGTAGTTCAGCGCGTTCGCGCACTCCGCGCGAAAATCGGCGACCGCCTTCTTCTTGGCCTCGATCTCCACACGCACTTTGTTCTGCTTTTCTTTCAACGTCCGCGCCTGCTCCGCCGTGTTGCGGTAGCGCTCCAGCTGCAGCTTCACGCCGTCGCACACCGCCTTCATCGCCGCGTGCTTCGCAGCCAAAATCGCCTTCAAGTCTTCATGTTTCGCGGCCACCGTCGCGTAGTCTTCGAAGTACTTATTCGTGCTGCTGATCACCTTTATCAGCGCTTTCTTCGCTTCCGAAAAGTCCGAGCTTGGCGCCCACGCCTGCTGTTGCATCGAACGCGCCACGCTCTGCAGTTCTTCGTTGTACTGCATCGTCTGGCTCAGCTCTGCCTCCCATTCGCGCCGCAAACTCGCAACGTCGACTTCCATTGCTCCGTTACGCTAGCAGAAAAGACTCGGGCCTGCAGACCGCGCAGCTACATTTAACATTTACGAAAAATCGAGTTCGTTTTATACCTCGTCGCTCGCGCTCAACTCTTGTGAAGCTTCCGCCTCGCTGCTCTCCAAGAACGAATCTTCGCCGCCGTCTAGCGACAGCCTAGGCATCATGTGGTAGTTCGCGTGATGCAAATAATGCTCGTCACGGAACTCGCTGACCGCGTGCGCGTGCGGCACGTGCGTCAAGTGCGCCAAGTGCTTCGAGTCTAGCTTTACCGGCGCCGCGCGAGCCGTGATCGGACTCGTCTGGTACGTGAAGTAACACTTCGCTGGAATCGTCTCCAAGCGCTGGCAGTAACCGTTCACACTGCTTTCTCCATTGTCGCAAGTCGTCGTCGACGGCGATCGCGCGACGCACTCAGAGCCTTGCAGGTCGAAGCCAATCGGGCAATAGATGTTCAGTGGTTGTGTGTACGTCTTTACGCACTCGCACTTGATATTGTACTTGTTCCTGCTAGTCAAGCACTGCTGCTTGTAACCCAACGGACACGTGGAAACGGGACTCACTCTCTCGTACGTGTAGCAGTCGTCGATGTCTCCGTACGCGGGGCAGACCTTCAACGGCTGCACACGCGTGGACACTTTACAGTACTTGCCTTGCAACTTCCCGACGTTGCAGAACAGCCCGGGCTGCAGAGTCACGTGCTGGAAGCACTCGCTGTCAATTGAAACCACCTCGTCTGCGACAGGCGCGGTAAGCGGATAGTGAATGCCTTCCAGAGCTCTGAGGTGCTTGCCGTTCAAGTGGTTGCTCAACACCGCCTCGATCGGCGTCGCCAAGTCGTGCAACAAGCTGGACCTCACATTGTGGTTTTGGCATTGGATCTTTTCGCTCTTCTTACACAGTCCGTCGTCCAAGCTAAAGCCCGGCTTGCACGTAAGCTGCGGCTGCACATTCTGGTCAGAGAAGCAACTGCCGCGATATTTAGAGCCGTCTGGACACTCTTGGATCAGCGAAACTTCAACTTTGCGCGAGCAGAGCAACGTCGAGTCCAGCAGCAGCGGTCGCTTTTCCTTGATCGCAACTCGCTGCAGCTCAAAACCAGTTGGACAGCTGAGCTCTTGTATTGCTTGCGTTCTCTTCACACATTCTCTTTCGCTGTAGACGTACCCGTAAGGACACTTCGTTTCCGGCTTGACTGTGCGAATGCATTCGTTGTTGTAAAGAACTCCACCGTCTTTGCAGATCGTTCGCGGAGCCGTTTCAATGATCCTGGAGCACTGCGTGTCGAACCGCTCGTAAGACGTCGGACATGTGCACACCGCCGGCGCCGACATCGCCGGAACGTGCTTAATGAAATTCTCAGCACTAACATCATAATTTTGCGGCATATCTTGGTACTGCGTGATTACATCAGCACCTGCCAATAGCACAAATGCGGAAGCAACCTTAATCATCACTGCGCTAGTTTGACCTAAAACTTTTAGAAACGATTTATGTGCGCCTTCACAAGTGCGCTTTAAAGCGGCCGGAAAAAAAAACGCTTAGTGCGCACTGTTTGCTGGCGGTTCGCAGATTGTGCTATGCGTGCGCTTCGGCGCCGCGCTCATTCATACGCAAATATGCTCAGCAATGAGCTCGACACACGCAGTATTTCGCCTAAAGGGTTCTGTTCAAACCGAATTGCGTATATGAGCTTACTCAGGTTTCTAAGATCGCAGCGTCGGAACCTACTTTGGCGAGCTCTTCAGAACTACTAAACCATCGTCATATCCCACAGTCCAAATGTCGTCGAGAACGCATGACATTCCCAGCACTCCAAAAGCAGTCTCAAGACGAGTCAGCAGTACCGCACGAAGCGTCAATATGCTCACAGCGCAAGTCGATCTTTCGGAAAACGAAGAGCACCTACTTTTTAATCAAAACGTAAGCAGGGCTCGCATCTTGTTCCATGCGGAACGCAGCTCTTTTAAGCAAATAATAATAATTTCATGGATTTACTGTTCGAGTTCCTGGAATCTGACAGACACGATGTAGTCTTCTCCGCTCTCAACTCTTTCATCAGTGTATTCGACGAGAGTCTGGCCCAGTCGGAAAACTGCGACGCGTATTTTACTAAAATTATTGCCTGCACTAAAACTGCGCAGTTGCAATGTATGCTGAAAGCCTACGAAGCGCTTATACATTTGACTGCTGTGGCTACTCCTGAGTCAATATCCTCAGCTTCTTTGAACACTTTGCTTGACCAGATCGATTTTGCGCAATTTACCATTTGTCCGCAGATAGTGAGTCTGCAGTTGTATGCGGTCAACAATTTGACGCGGGGAGCGTCGCATTTAGAAAACTTGTTGTGCCGCGAAGCTTGGCTGCAGCAACTCTTCGATTGGTTAGGCCAAGAGGTGGACAGTGACAGTTTATCATCCATAAGCGACCCGCTGATCAGGTTTTTCTGCAATATCACTACGCGCCCGCTAGGCCAAACCCTTGTGCAGCGTAACACTGACATTTTCATAGCTTTCCTGCGCAGATCACTCAAGTTTGAAACTGCAAACATTGCGTCTGTGCTGTTGTCCAACTTATCGCTTGCGGGCGAATCGTTAATCACCAATACCCAACTCACCCGCTACATTATAACTGCGATTGCCCAAACTCTGTATCCTTCTGCTCAGACCATAGCTAATAGCGAAACAATCACTGCAGCAGTCAAGTCCGATACTCTGGAAACTAACATTTCCTGTGGGGCCATCGGAATCATATCGAGCGAAGCCACGCGTTTGCGCCTCGCTAAAACTTTAGGCTTTCTGTTACAATTCAAAGTATCGCGAGAAATTGCGCGCGAGTTGAACGTGTACGAAGTAGTCAGAGCAGTTCATTTGATTGAAACTTCACAAAGTATACAATCGGTTCTGGAGAATCTGGTACATCTAGTGCACTACACAGAAACTGAGCTTGAGGAACAAGATCGCACTCGATTGAGTGTCAGCTAAATCGCTAACGCTAAATTTATTTAATAAACCGTGGTGTAGGCAAAAGTTCGTATCAACGGCTCGCGCCCCGCGTAGTAAATGTCAGAAAGTTCCATTTCCTACTGGAAAGAGAAGCAAGCCACGTTGCATGATATTCTCGGTGGGCAGCTCCAAATAGCAAACACGGATATCCTGAATTCGCATCGGTTTCTGCAAAAAGCGGTCAAGGCGCAGAACAAGAGCGGCGTTTTGTTTGCATACGAGCGCTCCGCTGACGTAGGAGCGGGCATCGGCCGCGTTACTGCCGGTGTACTTCAGAAATGTTTTAAACATGTCGACCTATATGAACCGGTCGATCATCTGCTCCAGGAGGCAAAGCGATTGACGGATCAAACCAAGTGTTCCTATTACTGTTCCAGCATTGCGCAGTTTATAAGCAGCGACGCAGTCATGTACAACTGCGTATGGCTGCAGTGGGTGCTCATGTACGCCGACGACACTCAGGTCGTTGCGCTACTTAGCGCGTGCCGTCAGAAACTGCAAAAAAACGGTGTTATAATTGTAAAGGAAAACTACTCAGAATCCAACGAAGTCGAAGTCGACGCAGCAGACTTCTCTACGTGCCGTCCGCTTGCACGATGGCAAAAATTGTTCGAACGGAGCCAGTGCAAAATTTTGCTCTGGGAAACCGTGCCTCATTGGCCGGACCGACTTTACAAAATTTTCGCCGCAGCATTAGTTTTGTGATAAGCCAGACCGGTTTAGTTTTTCTTGCGCTTAGACAAGTACCGATTTATGAAAAACTGCGTGAACAGATACAAGTAGCTACCGTATATGATGGCTCCGGTAGCCATCGTTACAGCGCTCTTCGCGCAAAGATTTTCAGCAGTCACATCGACAACTCGATCCAAATTGCTTAAGGCTAACGCCTCGGACTGCGCCATGTACATTGCGTAAGTAGCTACTATGACGCATCCGCATATCATTTGCGTAATTTGGAAAATCGTGAGAATCATTCCCCACTGCGGCTTTCTGCCGCATGACGCGAGGTAGTAGTAAAAGTACATGCAGCTATGAACGAAGTAGTTCATAGAAACGAAAAATACGCCTGCCGGCATCGCTCTGACGTACGCCAGCCAGGTGAAAACCAAAACAGTAGCGTGATGGTACCAATGAAGAAAACTCAAAGGTTTTTTTCGAAGAACGATGAAAGCAGTGTCAAACAACTCGAGGTACTTCGAATACACAAAAATCGCTGTCCAAAGCCCCGGCGCGGCTCGGCCATACGTGAACTGAGGCGGCACGCACAACAAACACTTTGTGTCCCTTCTATACATATAGTAGAGAAGGTACGGCAAAATGCGAGTGCAGCCGATAAATGAAAAAATCGCGAGCGTCAAGTTCCAGTATTTCAACAAGCCGTTGAGATTGTTGAATGCTTTGCGACGCTGCATGAACTGAGTCCCAAAGTACAAAGCGAGCAGGTAGATGGCGGTCCCGACATACGAAGCCCACCAATAGTTGCGCGTATGTTGCAGAAAGTCGACGCCATTAAACCGCTTTTCAAACTCAAAGTAGAATCTATCCTCAAACCACGTAAAATCAATGATGCTATTGTCAACTGGCTTGAAATATTGATATTCTATGTCATACAACCAATCCAACATAGACCCAATGATTTCTGGATATTATCAGCCAGTGTGATTAATTAAATTCCTTCTGATAAACAGTGCTTCGTTTGCGAGTCCAAGAGTTTTTCACTGCGCGTTTTACGGCCAATAAATTAGATAGTTTTTGGGTGTTGCGCTTCGTAAGCTGTTCTTGGTTCGCCACTAAGTGTCGGTCTTCGGCCGCCTTTAGCCGCTGCATGTAGAAGCGCTGCTGTCTGCGTTCTTTAATCTGCTTTATGCGTGTCATTGCCTGGATCGTCTGAATGTACAGCTGGCGGTTGTAGCGAGGCATAGTTGAACGCACGCGCTCAAACGTGTCTAAGAAAGACTTGTCCATTTCTTTGCAGCCAACAACACGGTGAGCCTTTGTCCATTTTGACTTGCGCGGGTGGTGCCGCGCTTTGTAGTGCGACTTGCATTTACTGCCGCAGAATAAAAAGGACTTCGCATCGTTTCGTATAAACATGATGCCGTGTCCCGGATAGACGGGAGAACTGCAGTAAAAGCACGGATTAATCCTCATTCTCCCTCCACTCAACTAACCTAAATAATAAAAGCAAAAATTAGCAAGGATATGCGGTGAAACTAAAAATCTAGCAGCTTACGCGAACAAAGCGCTAAGGGCATCTTCGTTCAGTCTCAGTTGAATGTTCTGGCTGTGCTGTGTGAGGGCGCTAATTACGCTCTCTTCGGCAGTCTGCGCCTCGGGCAGCGGCGAACGCTTCTTGCGTGACTGGTGCTGCCCGGCTGACTTCCGGTCAAAGAGCCGCTTTTTTTTCTTCTGCCGCTCGAGAACGTAAGGCATTACATCCTTGGTCAGCTCATCCCACAGTTGCGCTTTTCGCGCCTTCTCCTCCTCGGTGAATAGAATTTCGTCAACTTCGCGATCCGGAATTTCGCTGAGCGTCTCCTCGTAATCGTTCTCGAGCTGGTCAAACATCGTGTCCGACAGCTCTTTCTCTACGTCGGGCTGAGCGTTCGCGACGTCGCTCTTGTCTAGCGCGAAAAACACAGAAGATTCGTTGCTTAGCATCACGCTATTTTCATCCGGCTTCGTCTCAACCGAAAGCGAATTCAAGATCGAAACTTTTTTGTGCGCCGGCATCAGGTCAGAGAGTTTCTCCATTATGTGTTCCTTTTCCTGCGAAATTTTGAGCAGCGAGCGCGCGAGTTCGCTATCCTGCGCTAGTTCGTCGTCGCAGAGCTGCGCGTAAGAGTTTACGCCCTTTAACAGACCTGTGGCCATGCTATTGGCGCTGCAGTAGCTAAGCTGTGGGCTGCAGATCTCGTCCATACTTCCTACGTAGTCCATCGGAATCACGCCGTTCAGCGCCGGCGCAGGTTTGTCGAACAGCATGTTTACGAGGTCCGATGTCAACTCTGGCGATGTCTCCTGTGAGAACTGCGTGGAGGCAGCCGATGCATCCTTCAGCGCATGCGGCTGCGGACTCAGCGCAAGCGGAAAATTGTTGTATTTCAGCTTCGCCTTTACGCATGGTGGCAGCTCTTCGTGCCGCAGGCTGTCGATGTCCACACTGCCGAACTGCGAGACGGGAAGTCGCCCAATCGAAGTGTCTCGAATTTCTGACAGACGCTTTTCAATCGTTGAGAGCGAGATGCGGAACACGTTCTGAACATCTTTGCTGCTCAGCGCAATCTTATGGTATGCAGCCGCGACTATGATCGAGACGGCGCACAGCCCAAGCGGGCGCCGCCCCGTCACGATCCAGTTGCGCGTCAAGGCCTGCACGAGTCGAACGCTGGTTTGCGCTATTTGATGCGACTTCGGTCCGAGATTCAACTCTTCTGCGAATCGTTCCATAAAAAGCGAAGGGTCGATGCAAGGCACGTGCAGGCTCAGCGACTTTACGAGCTTCATAAAGATCTGAGCTAGCGTCTTCACCGGCGCTTTGAGCGTGTCCGAGAAGTCGATCAGCATGTACGGCGCTTTTTCCTTACGACAGATCGCGTACAAACACGCGCTAACCACAAAATAGTTGTTGCGGCCGGTAGTGAAACGCCGCTGGAAGGCCAAGTGGTAGAGTCTTTTCGAGGCTTCGACCAGCGAAGCGCAAATCCCGAGCCGGTGCGAGATCTTCTCAAGGTTGTACCACCCGCGCGAGAGCGCGAGCTCATCGGATCCTCGACGCAGGTAAGAGAGAGAAAAGCTCAGTCCGTTCGCACCATTGTGAAACTGGCCCGTGACGTTTCCTGACGCAGTGTAGACCAGTTGATCCACCACAACACTTTGTTGTAGCACGGCGCCACACCCGGTGCAAATGACTTCGCCGCGCGCGTCGTTGCTGACGGTCTTCGAAGTTCCGCAGTATTCGCACTGCATGGGAGCCGGCGCTAATAGAACTCGCAATATTCTAGCCAACTAGCGCGGCGGTGGAAATCAAATATTGCGGGTCAAATACTCTAATTTCTTTTCGAAATACCTACAATTTCAGCAGCTTGACGTAGTCCACTAAACCGTCTATCGCGATCACTCCCACTATTTTGTTGACTACTTCCATTTCCCAATCCTCAAACGCTTGCGCGCCGCTGGTCAAAATTTCTGCGAGCTTTTCCGCGGTGACATAGCCCGTTCGGTTCACGTCGTAGTACTGGAACACAGTGATGCACGGCTCGAAGGCGGGCATGTTTCTCGCGTGTTCGCAGTAGAAGTCCAGGAATTCGTCGAACGACAGTGTGGCTTGCGCGCCGAAGCGCTCTGCGTGCGACAGCACGCCACTTACGCGCGACGATTTGCTGAAGTTTTTCTTCTTCGATAAACTGGCCTACCGCGCGGAAAACCAAGCCGACTTGTCGGCAGGGCAACTGATCGCGCTCGCCTGAAACTTTGGCATACATCTGGCGCATCGACGCGAGTTGGACGCTGCTGAAAGTGTTACGATCGATCATTGCTCCGATGCGCTGCGCTAAAAGTGCAGCGGCGGCGACAATTAAAACCGAAAATATTTAAATCATCTACGCTCATGAAAGGTCTGATCGACGCGACGCAAGATGCTGCAACACGCGTTTAGCGAGATTAATTTTTTGAAGCACTCCGCAACCGACGCGTGCATTCGAGTAGACTTGGTGCAAGCAGAAAATGACTCGAACTGCGGAAGCAATCTCTCGACGCTGTTGCCTGTCGGCCGACGGCAAAGCTTCAACTTGTACCCGTTCAACAACATCGAGTTGTGGAAGCGGCTGCTACTGAACCGGCTGCACATCAACGTGCGGTTAAACGATTTGGTGCTGTACAACAACGGACACGAGCTGGAAAAGTCGCTCATGCTTGTGTCGCTGGTCGAAGCAGAGCAGACGCTCGAGCCCAGCGAGATCGGCGCGGGCTGCGGCGGAGCGCTGAAAAGCCGCGCGTGCGACCGGCTCACAATTAAGTGGCGTATTCGCGAGAAGATCGCGCAGAACCTGAGCAAGCACTGCATTCGGCTTCCAGAAGGCTTTCCGTGCAGCGAAATGTTTTCGCGGCTCATCGCGGAGATCAATCTCGCGTTTTCGAAGAACGTGACTCCGCGGCTCACAGACGAGGGCACGGGCGGCACATACATTTTTTACAACAAGATGAACAAGTGTTGCGCACTGTTCAAGCCGAAGGACGAAGAAGCGTTCACGCCGAACAACCCACGCGGCTACACCGGGTCAGTCGGGCAGCTCGCGTTCCGGCCAGGCATCTGCAGCGGCGAGGGACACTTGCGCGAAGTCTGCGCCTACTACTTGGACGAGGCGGCAGGCTCGTTTAGCAGCGTGCCGCCGACTTGTTTGGCTGAAGCGATCCATCCGTACTTTTGCTACGACCCGAAGTGTCCGAATAAGACGCGCTGCAAAGAGTACCTTTGTGAAGGGCTGATGTTCAAGCGGAACTTGGCGAAGTCGCTTGATAAGACGATCATCAACTACAAGACGGGCAGTTTGCAGCAGTTTGTGAACAACGCGGAGTGCTCCGGGAACTTCGACCCGTCGATGTTCTGTCTGCACGACGTGCACAAGATTTGTATTTTGGACATTCGGCTGTGCAACTTGGACCGCAACGAGGGCAACACATTGGTGGTGAAGTCGGAGTTCATCAATCTGGACCCGGCGCTGGAGGCGATCTTCTTGGCGTCTGCGTACGAGCCGTACCTGCACAACGTCGAGCGGCGCGGCGAGAGCCAGCCGCGGCTGCGGCTGATCCCGATCGACCACGGCTTGATTTTGCCGCGCAAGCTGAACCTGATGGAACACGACCTGTGCTGGCTGAAGTGGCCTCAGGCGGCGTTGCCGTTCACGCGCAAGACGCTGAGCTACATTGCGACGCTAGACCCGGACGCGGACGCGAAAATTCTGCAGTCGCGCTTTCGCCTGCCGCTCGAAAGCGTGCGGCTGTTTCAGTGCGCCAGTCGGCTGCTGAAGATTGGCGCGCAGCAGGGACTGACGCCGCGGCAGATCGCGGACTTGATGGTGCGCGACGAGCCCAACGCGCAGAGCGAGTTCGAGAGCTGCATTGCGATGGCGCTGGAGCAAGCACGAAAATACAGCCCGCTCGAAAAGGAGTTGAAGCAGCGCAGCACGTTCAAAAACATGCTCTCTTCGCTTGCAGAGAAGAACGCGGACTCGCTGCAGCAACTGCGCTCGAGCCTCTCCGAGAAGTTGAAGAGTGTGATCCGCGGCGACGGCAAGGCGGCGGAGCCGCCGGCCGCGGGGCTTAGCTTCGCCGCGCCCGCAGAAACAGAGCTGGTGCAGCACCGCAAATCCGTCACGCAGACGCTGCAGCACACGCTGCACTGGGACGACTACGAGAACAGCTTGTGGGCAGCGCCGTCGGTGGAAGGCGTGCCCGCGGCGCGCGATCTGAGCGACGAAGTGTTTGTGCGGTCTTTTTTGGCGTTCTTCGAAAAGCTGATCACCAAGCGCCTGACTGTGGCTAGAAGATAGAGGTTTTGTAGTTGGGCGACGCGGCGTGCTCGCGCGCGTCGTCTTCCGCGGCTTTTTTCTTTGCGTTTTCGTAGTTGATTTTTAGCTTGACTAGTTCGAGGGAACGCTGCAGCGCCTTCAGCTTCTTGCCCAATTGCTTGCGCTTTAGCTCGGCTTCTCGGTGCGCCAGCATGTTGTTTTCGTAATTGACTTTGCAGGTAAGTTTCTTGATTTTGCTGAGCCGCCGCAGCAAATCAACTTGCTCGACGGCCTTCTGCCGCGACCGCGCTTCGCGCGCCGTGAGGTCCGCGATGCGCTTGTTGAGATCTTGGATGTCGATTTCGAGTTTCTTGATGTGCGCGGCCACGGAACTCATCGCAGGCGCCTATCAAATTAAATTATCAGCACCACGAGCGATGCGGCGGAAATACAAACAGATTAGCTATTAAATAAAACAGTCGCAGCATCTCAAGAGTGAGAACGCGGCTCGCCTAGACTGGCGCGTCGCGCCGCAGACGCAGCGGCAGAGCGAGACAATTGCTCGCACACCTCAGCGCTCGTGGGACCGGAGGAGCCCAGGGGGCTCGAGAAGCCCGAGGGGCTAGCACAACACCCAGGACTAATCCTTCTTAGCGTCAGCAGCGGACTCGACAGCCTGTGCGGGTTCGGCTGACAAGGACTCGACGCTTTTCGCGAGCTCATCCATGCTGTTGGCGAACTGTGCTTCCGACTGGCTCGCCGAGTCGGTTGTGTCGGCGTCGCACGACGGATCCTCCTTCAGCGCGTCGGCGGCGGCAGCCTTCGCCGCCGTCTCCTGCAGTTCCTCAAATCCGCTATTGAGACGCGTTCGGTACTCCTCCTCGAGCTTCGAATTGCGCTCCGAGTACACATCGTTCACCTCGTTGACACACTGGTTGAAGACGCGGAAAAAGTCCATGTCGGCGTGCTTCTGCAGTATGCCGCGCTTGTGCTCCATCACCTCCCGGAGCATTTGGAGCCTCTGATACTCTTCTTTGTTGTAAGGCGCCGTGAGGTAGCGGTATTTCCACGACATGCTATCGTACAAGGACCTGAGCAGCCGCAGCGTGTAAGACTCTTGCACGCCTATCGCGGCCTCGGTGCTCTCGCGCGCCTGCTGGCAAAGGTCCGCGAAATCTTGCAGTGCCGGCGAGTTGGTGTCTAACGAAGCGGTCGAGTCTGCTTGCGCGTAGGCCATCTTCTTCGCAATGACGCTGCCGATGAGCTCCGCCTGCTTTTGCAACTGCATGTTGCACTGCGGCGAGTAGTTGAGCAGCATGTCCGGATGGGCGACCGTGTCCGTAGCGATCATGTCGTTCACCAAACAGAGCCGTGATTCTTCGCAGTTTTTCAGTTGTGTCAGCAGCGACTCTTCGTGGAGCGGCAGGTTCGATCTGCTCTGCAGCAGCAATTGCAGCAGCTGTTCCAAGGATAAGCCATCGAGCAGCGCTTCCACATCGAGCAGCGCTTCCATATTCGGCGCCGTCTCGCCGGAGCTTCCCGGATTTTCGTTCAGGACCGGCTCGGACGGTGGCAACCCCGCATCGTGCGCGGTTCGCACTTCGTTGTTGCGCTCACTCTGCGTCGCGAGCTCCGGCACGCTCGGGCTCTGCTGCGCGCTCGTGCCGGGCTCTTCAGAAGACACAGAAGTCGACGAGTGTGGCGCAGCAACGCCCACCGACTCGACAACTGCAAGCAGCGCGGCGCCCAGCCCGCGCAAACGCCGCTCTCGAGCAACTAACACCCCAACTCTCATGATTCAATTAAAAAAAATCTTACATGTTTATATCCGGCCTAATTTGTGTCACCTGACGTGGCGCAACACGCGAGCGAAGTCCGCGCCGAGCGCGTTCGCAGAGCTTGCCGCGCGCAGTGGCAAGGCCGCGGCGTCCGCCGCGGACGCTGTCTCCGCGCTGAACGCTGCAAAGTCGCGCGCGCTTGCGACCAACAAAGTGCTGCGGCGGCCGCGCCAACACTTACTGCCGCGGCGGCTCCGAGTGCACCAGCACGTTCACCACCGGCAGCTCGCCAATCTTGTCGCCCGCGAGCTTCAGCGCTGAGTAGTTGAACGAGAGCGCGGCAGCCGCGCGCAGCGCACCGAGAGCCAAACTCACGCGCATGATCAGACCAAATCTTTTGCATTTAATATCTCATTTAGTTTCGCAGCAAAGCGCGCGCCGAGGTAGTCGTTGAAGCTGCTCACGCTGCTGTGCGCGACGCACGCTTCGACGATTTTGTTGAGCTCCGCGAGCTCGAGCAGGCGCAGCTCGCAGCTCAGCTCGCGCAGCGACGCGCTCGCGAGCCGCTCCGGCGCCGTGCCAGGCAACGCGCGCGCGGCAGCGACGCGCGCGCTGAGCCGCAACAGCACGATCGACCCGTAGTTGGCGACGCGCGCCTCGAAGCGCTGCTGCACCTGCATCACGTTCACGTCGCACGCGTCTGCGAGCACGCGCAGCCGCAGTAGCGGCAGCTTCGGCGCGCGCTCCGCGGGCGGCGCGAACGCGCAGCCCAGCGCCTCACTGAGCGAGCGCAGTTGTCGGCAGTGGGCCTCGACCAGCTCCGCGTGCCGGCGCGGGTGCTGCGCCAGCAGCTGCTCGATCTGCGTCTCGAGAAACAGCTCACCGACGCAGCCCGCGAACTCGACCGTTTCGAACAGCAGCAGTCGCTGCGAGAGCAGCGGAAAGTAGTGCGGCCGAAAGTCGCGGCGCGCCACCTCCAGCAGCAGCGCGCTCTTCGGCACCGTCTCCGGCTGCCGCAGCGCCGTGATAACGGTCGAGCCCGGCTGCGTCACGAAAGAGCTGCCGTTCTCGCTCTTGGCGAACACGATGCAGCACTCGTGCTCGTGGCCCCACACGACCAAGTCGATGAACTGCGGGATCAGCGTCTGGTCCAAGCACATCGCCTTCTTCAGCGCGCAGCCATTCTGGAAGCGGTTCTGGTGCAGCAGCAGCACGCAGAACGAGTTCTCGCGGTCCGTCGGCGCGAGGAACGTGAGCCGCCCGCTGCGCAGCAACTCGTTCAGCGCCTCGTCGCGCGTGTGGCTGAGGCCGTACAGGCACAGCGCGCTCGCGCCCTTGCGGAGTACCACCGGCTGCACCAGCGAGGTCTCTGCGTTCCGGAAGGCGTGTCCGACGTCGTTGAGCAGCCCTAGCTGCGCGAGCACGTCGATCGAGGACACGCGCTGCCCGCCGAGCGCCAGCGGCGGGTCGGGGTTGCCGTGAATGGTGAAAATCGGCAGCTTCACCGAGACTTTGTGCGACAGGTCCACGTTCAGCGGCCGCGCGTTCGGCGCGCGTTCGTGCACGAAAGCGTGCCGCTTCTGGCCCAGGCAGTAACGGCTCAGCAGCTCGAAGGTTTTGTACAGCGTCAGCTGCGAGGGCGAGCCGGAGTCAAACAAGTCGCCTGCGTGCAGCAGCAGGTCGACTTCGAACTGCTCCGCGAGCTGCAGGCACTCTTCGAACGCGTCGAACGCGTCCTGTCCGAGCGTCGCGTCGCGCTCCTTGTAGCCGAGGTGCGAGTCGGTCGTGACCAGCACGCGAAACACGTCCGCGGCGCGCATCTATACAACGATTTCGATCTTGAGCGAACAACTCGGGCACTCCACCACGCGGTAGCCGAGAGCAATCTGCTGCGCGGTAATGCTGAAAATGTCGCCGCAGGGACAGAGTCTGGTGTACGAGTCGCCGACGCGTTCCCACTGGTCGATGGCGATTTTCGCGAAAATTCGGCTTTCGTCAATCTCGCCCGGCCGGTACACGTTGTGAATATCTAGATGCGCCGTCATTTCGATTTAAATAATGGAAAATTTTCCCCCGGCGGCGGCGCGGTTTTTTGCGCTGCGGCTTCGCGTGCCGCGCGCCTCCGCCACAGCCGCGCCGCTGAGCGCCGTGCTCGCACGCTGCGCTGCCGACTGGCGGCTGGTCGCCGCGCGGCTCTGCGAGGACGGACTCGAGCTCACGCTGCGCCGCCGGCTGCGCGGCGGCAAGGGCGGCTTTGGCACCGTGCTCAAAGAGCGCGGCAAGAAGTTCGTCGCCAAAAATCGCAGCTTCTTCGCGGACGAGCACGGCATCTTCAAGAGCTTCTACGAGCAGGCGCGCTCCGCCGCGCTCGCCGCCGCGAGCGCGCAGCTAGAGCAGCTCGCCGCGCTGCACCCGCCGGCTGCCGCGCCCATCTCGAACCTCGACCTGCTGCGGCGCTACGGCCGCGCCGCACCCGCGCCGCCGGCAACGATGGCAGACACGCTGCCGGCCCCGCTGCCGGCTCCGCTGTCGGCCGCGCCAGCCGCGTCTGCGGACGCTGCCGCGCTACTTCCGTTCCTCGCCAACTACTTGCCGCGCGCCTAGGCTGCGGTCTCGCCCTGCACCCACACCAGCCGCTCCGCGCCTGGCGCGACTTCCGGCTTCGGAGCGCGAGCCAGTGTCGGATTCACCAGGCTCGGCGAGGCCAAACTCACGTTGTCGAACGGGTCCGGACGGTTCTGCTCCATCGCAAAGAACGCGGTCCGCACCGGGTCTACGTCGACATCTTCTAGACTGCCGCTCACTGCGTTCTTCACGATGACCGTCTTCACGCTCGGCGCACTCGACTTCCCGCCGTGCTCGCGCCGACCCAGGTGCCGCTTCTCGCGCAAGCTCCGCGCGCCGAACTGCGCGCTCAACGCAGCCGTGTCGGGAGTTGTCGCGCCGACCTGCGCACTCGACGCTGCCGCGTCGATTGCGCTCGCGCCAACCGTGTCGGTTGCGGTCGCGTCCACCTGCGCGTTCAACGCGACAGCTTCGGCTCCAGTCGCGATAACCGATTCGACTTCCGCAACGCTTTCCGCCGCGACGCTTTCCGTCGCGACGCTTTCCGTCGCTGCACTTTCTGCCGCGGCGCTTTCACCGTGCGCGCTCTGCGACTCTAGCGCTTCGCCGCTCGCAACCCCGGCGTTTGTGCGCAGCAGCTGCGCTGTGGCAGCTTCTGCTTCTGCGGTACCGTATGCGGCACCGTCTGCAGCTACGGTTTCTGCGTTAGCCTGCGGCTCCGACGAGCCGCGCGCGCCGTCGCCGGCGAACTGCGACGCCGACGCGAACGCAGCGGCAGCCTCCGCCTCCGTCAGCTCGCTCTCGTAGAGTGACGGCGGCAGCGTCGCCAGAAACTCGCCGTCGAGCACGTCGAACAGGTACGCGCCGATCGCGCTGAACGCGGAGGACAGCGCCTGCAGCGGCGCGAACGCGTCGCGCTCGTACTTGCGCAGGCCGCCGCCGAGCGGACTTTCGCCGCCGAGCGGACTTTCGCCGAACGGACTTTCGCCGCCGAACTCTGCGCGCTGCTTCGGCTCGCCGCTGCGCTCGCCCAGCGGGATCTCGAACGAAAAGACTTCAATTTCCAGCTTGCCGGCCGGCTCGCTCAACGCGAAGCCGCGCAGCGCCGCTGCGCCGGGCCCGGCCTCGGCTTCGGCGAGCGCGCCCGGAAGCGCGCCGCGCTGTTCTGCAGTGGACAGCGAAGCGCTCGACGTGCTGCGTTTTGCCTCCGCGCGGCGGGCCGCGCGCGGCGGCCCGAGGCGCTAAACGTACGGTAACTCGCTGCGGGAGTTCGGCGTGCCGAGATCTGCTGCGTGCGCGCCGCTCGGCGCCTGGAGAGCGCACAGCAGCACCAAACGTCCCGCGAAACAGCCTAAGAGCCTCATCTTCTGTTTTGTCTCTGTTTATAACAACTGCAATTATCAATTAAAATTTGCGTTTCCGCTTGCGCTTCTACAGTGTGTGACATAGGAAATGGGCCGCGACTACCATGTGTACTCTAAGACCAACCGCAAGCCGAAGAGACCCTACGAGAAAAACAGACTCGATCACGAGCTGAAACTCATCGGCGAATACGGGCTCAAAAACAAGCGCGAGGTCTGGCGCGTGCAGCTGGTGCTCGCGAAGATCCGCAAGGCCGCGCGCGAACTGCTAACGCTCGAAGAGAGCAACCCGGACCGCATTTTCCACTCGAACGCGCTGATCCACCGGCTCATCAAGCTCGGGCTCCTCGGCGAGAACGAGAAGAAACTCGACTACGTGCTCGGTTTGACCATCAACAAGCTGCTCGAGCGCCGCCTGCAGACGCGCGTCTTCCGCCAGGCGCATGCGCGCTCGATCCACCACGCGCGCGTACTGATCCGCCAGGGGCACATCCGCGTCGGCGAGCAGGTCATCACGATCCCCTCGTTCATGGTGCGCATCGGCTCCGACCAGCACATCGACTTCGCGCTGAACTCGCCCTACGCCGGCGGCAAGCCCGGCCGCGTGGCGCGCCGCAAAGCGAAGTCTGCGCACGCCGCGGACGAGGAAGAGTAACTGCATATGCATTTGTCGCGCGGCGGCGCTAGCCGCCGCCCACGCCCGCGTCGAGCAGCAGCGCGTCGTTGACGTGCGTCGCCGGCCAGCGCACGCGCTGCAGCGCCGCGCGCACGGTTTTGTCTTCCGGTACGAGCGCCGGGTGCAGCGCCGGCAGAAACTGTGTCGCGGCGCGGCTCTGCACGTGCGTCTCAACTTGCGTCGCGCGCGCGAACTGCGTGAGCGCAGCGAATAGTCGCTCCACCTGCGATGGCGCCGCACTCGCGAAGACCCACCAGCCGACGACTTTGCGGCGGTCCAGCTTCAACACCTCCAGCGCGGGCTTGCGCAGTTTCTTCTGCAGCAGCTGCCCGATCGGGCTGACCTCGGCGCCGTCCGCGCCGGCGCACGTCGCGAGCTTGTGCACTGCCAGCTGCTGCAGCGGCAGAATCGACTCCGGCTCGCCACTGGGCTCGCCACTGCGCTCGCCACTGGGCTCGCCGCTGGGCTCGCCGCGCCGCGCCGCGTCGTAAACTAGCAGGAACTGGCGCCGGTGCACGGCGCACCGCGCGGCCTTCCAGCGGCGGTTGAAACAGTCGAGCTGCTCGAACGCGCCGAGCTGCTCCTGGTCTGGGTAGTCGCGCGCGTACGGCAGCAACACGTTTAAGTTTTTGAGCTCGCGGCTCAGCGCGAGCTGCAGCGCGTCGCCGTCGATCACCTCGCGCACCGCGCGCGGCAGCCCGCTGGGGCCGCCGCGCTCCACGAGCGCGTTGACCGAGCGCTCCCCGGCCGCGCAGCGCTCGGTGAACCGGCGCACCAGCGCGTAGTTGCTTTGCTGCATCTGTTCCACGGCCCTCTGAAAGCCGTCGAGGCACGCCGAAATCTGCGCGAGGAAGTCACCGCAAGCGGCGTAGGCGAGACTTTGCTCGCAGTGCGACTCGCGGAGCCGCAGCAGCGCTTCGCGCTGCACTTCGAACGCGCGGTAGCGGTTGATTGCCGCGGCGGGGTCGCGCTTGCCGAGCGCGACAATGTCGGCGAGCCGCGCGTCGAGCGCCGAGAGCGCCTGCGCGCGCTCGAACAGCGCGGCGTCGACGCGCTGGATCTCCTCGAGCCGCGCCTTGTGGAAGCCGCGGAGCGTCTCGAGCGCCGCAACCTTCGCGTTCGCCAACGCCGTCAAGAGCGCCGCGCGCGCCTGCGCCGCGTGCTCCGCGAAGAACTTCGCAAAGTCGCCGAGCTGCTGCTGCGCGCGCAGCGCTTCGTCCTTCGCGCAGAAGCTGCGGCTGGTCACGCTGCTCAGCGCGGGAGCCAGCGCCTGCAGCAGCCGACCGAGGAACGCCTTCGCCTGCCCGCCCTCAAGCACCGCATGCTCTGCATGCTGCGCGCGCTCGCTGCGCAAGTCGAACACGCGGTTGCCGCAGGTCGCACACAGCGCCTTGCGGCTCGCGGGCTCGTCCGCGGCACCGACGTTCATCGCCTTGAACGTGCAGTCCACCGCGAACAGCTGCTCCGGCGCGTGCGTCGCGCGCGACGGTTGCGCAGCTGCGCAGACAGTACAGCCGGCGCGCGCCGCCGACAGCGCCGCGTTGAGCGTCTCTGTGGGCGCTGTTGCGGACGCTGTTGCGGACGCTGTTGCGGGCGCTGTTGCGGGCGCCTTCGCCGGCGCCGCGAAGCGGCCCGCGCCTTTGTAGGCGTCTGCGAGTGCCGCGCGCCGCAGCGGCAAGTGCTTGCCGTAGTAGTGCAGCGCGTGTTCGATGGGGTGTGGGAACGAGATCAGGCACGAGACGCACAAGTACTCGAAGCAGGTGAGACACTCGCAGGCCGCCTCGAGCACGTTGCAGCGCGAACACTTGTGCGAATCGCCGAAGTAGTTCGCGAGCGGCTCTTCGAAGCGCACGCCGCGGAACGCGGACGCGCGTTCGCGCTGCGCTGCGCCACTACTCATGCTTTCGAGAGAGCGCAGCCCTATTTCTCACACACGTTTCGAAATAAAAACGCATTTGCGCTGCAACGCAATAGCTGCTTTTTTTAAACCCAGCATGCCGCAGGCCAAGCAGCCGTACCAGTCCGCTCTGCTGAAGCGCCGCAAACAGCGGCACCTCTACCCCTACGCGGTCCACAGCTTTCTGGACCTCCGGTACGGGCCGACGCACTACCGCCTCGAGGGCAACTTCGCGGACCCACTAGTAAGTGCGCGCGCGCGCTAGCAGGTTGTGTTTTTGCACGGCTTCAACGGCTCGTTGAGCATGTTCGACCCGTTCCTCGCGCTGCTGAAGGCGAAACACTACCTCGTGCTCACGTACGATCTGTACGGGCACGGGCTCTCGGTGGCGCCGCGCGTCGACCCGCTCAAGAAGTTTCGCTACACGGTGGCCTTCTTCGTGGAGCAGCTCGAGGAGCTGTTGGAGCGGCTGGCACTGCACGAGCGCAAAGTCACGCTCGTGGGCTTCAGCCTCGGCTGCATCGTCGCGGTGGCGTTCATGGCGCTGCACCACCGCGCGGGAAACAAACTGGTCCTGCTTTCGCCGGCAGGCATCCCGGGCAAAGTGCCGCTCCCGGCGCGGCTGCTGCGCAAGTTCAGCTGCTGCATTCCGCCGATTCCATTTTTGTTCCGCGAGCATTTGTACAACCTGCTGCTGCGGCAGCGGCAGAAGCAGCTCGCTGCAGAGCGCGCCGCGCGACACGCCGCGAGCCGCAGCGCCGACGAGCTCGCGACGCAGTTCGACTTGCAGATCGACCAGCAGTTCGACCAGCAGTTCGGGCGGCGCCGCGAGCCGCCCGCCGCAACCCACGCCGCACCGAGCGGTGAGTTGACCGGCGAGCAGAGCGACGAGCTGCGCGACGAGCTGCGCGACGAGCTGCGCGACGAGCTGCGCGGCGAGCTGCGCGGCCGCGCGCGCAGCAAGGCGGACGCGCCGCGGCGCAGTTCGCAGTCGGTGCCGCCGGAGAAGAGCGAAGCCTCGCCGCAGCGCGCCGCTCGCAGCCCGGCGCACGCGCCGAAGCGGCTCGCGTCGCAGATCGCGGAGGCGAACGAGGCCGCGTTGCAGCAGAGACTGCGCTTCTCGCTGTTTTGGAAGCGCAACGGCATGGCGTCGATTCTGGCCTGCGCCGCGCGCATGCCGCTCTGGGAGGCGCAGCCGCTCTACGAGCAGCTCGACAAGACGAAGATCCCCACCTTGATCATTTGGGCGGAGTTCGACGAAATCATGCCGTACGCGCCGCAGACGTTCGACGGCATCGAGAACAAGCGCATCACGCTGGTGCGCAACGCCGGGCACCTGTTTCTCGCGGAAAAGAGTCGGCAGACCGCAAAGCTGATCCAGTCGTTTCTCGCGCAACCCGACAGCGCGTACCTGCCGACCAGCGACCTGCCGCAACAAATCGCGTAATGGCCGGCGGCGACGCGTTTCTCCCCGGCCCGAGCGCGGCGAATATAAATTAATTTCGCTAATGGCGGAGAACGAGAGCCCTGCGCGCGCGCCGGCCGCGGCGCGCGACGCGCTGGACGCGCTGACGGCGGCGCTTGCAGCGGAGCACTGCGACGCCGCCACCTTTGCGCGCGGCGCGGCGGAAGCGAGCTGTCTTTTGCGCAACTCGCTGCCCGCAAACCTCGACGAAGAGGCGCGCGCTTCTTCCATCTTCCAGGTAGTCGGCGGAACCGCTGCCGACGCGCCTTCCGCGCTGGCGGGCGCAGATCGCGCGGCGGCGCTCGGCAACCTCGTCGACGCGCTGCAGAGCTGCGCCGCGCGCGGTCTCGAGCCGCGAGAACGCAAGCTGCTCCGCGCGCTCTGGCACGACATCGTTGCGGCCTTCTGCTTCAAGCGCGCCTCGGACGCCGTCTGCCAGGAGCTCGTCTGCGTGATCGAGGAGCCGCTGCTCTCGCACTTCGCGCCCGTCAAGGCGAACCTCGGCCGCTTCTACCGCAAGCTCTGCGCGGCCTGTCTTCTCGCGACGAACGAGCAGCAGTTCCCCGCCGTGCTGGTCAGCCTGTTTGCGCTCTTCGCGCGCAGCGCGGACTGGCGCGCGAGCAACCACTACGACAAATTTCTGCGCGCATTTCTCACTTCGCTGCAGTCGAACCAAGGCGGCCGCCTCACCATCGCGGCCGCGGCCAAGCTCCGCGGCTACGTGAAAAAGAGTTCCGTGCTGCTGGCGCACCTGCTCGAGCACGCGCCGCCTGAGCCGTTCCTGCGCGAGTTCAACGCCTGGTTCGCGCGCTACCTCTCCAGCAGCGTGCGCCGGCGGCCCGAAGCGGCCAAGGGCTGTGCGGACGCGGCGCCGCAGCCGCACCTCTCGTGGGCGTTCTGCGCGCTACTCGGACTCTACGTGCAGACCGCGCACAACTTGAAGCTCAGCCGCCCGGACGCTCTGCGCGCACTGACGCCGCTGCTCGAGCCACTGGTCGCGCTGACGCTCACCGCGCTCGCGAGCGTGAAGTCGCAGCCGCAGTACCTGCCGCTCTCGCTGCAGTTATTCGACGCGCTCGAGCGGCTCTCCGCGACCTTCGACCGCAGCATCCACGTCGGCGGACTGCTGCTCGACGCGGCCGCCGCGCTGCTGAAGCTCGCGACGCTCAAGCAGACCGTCAGCTTCAACGCGAAGCTCGCGAAACTCATGAAGGAGCTCGACTTAACGCTTCTGCTGCGGCTGAACACCGAAAACAAGCTGTACTACCGCAACCAGGAGCGACTCGCGAAACTCTACTTCGCGCTGCTCGCGAAGCACTTCGCGCTGCGCGCCAGCGCGCCCGCGTTCCCCGAAGAGGCGCTCTGGTTTCTGGCGAGCCTGAAGCAGCTGTTCAAGCAGGTCGGCGGCGAGCAGCACGACCCGCTCGGCTTGTTGAGCTCGTTCAAAAAGCTAATGAACGAGTTCGCGTTCTACGTCGCGCAAACCGCCGAGCGCGTCACCGCGCTGCGCCGCGTACAGCCGCTGCGCAGCGACGAGCAACTCGCAACGCTCGACAAGGCGCAGTACCAAAAACTGCCGATCCACAAACTGCTGCTCTCGCAGTGACTAGTTATATAAATCTTCGTCGTCTTCGACGTCAATGTCGTTGCTGTGCGCTGGCGCGCTGGGCCACACAACAACCGGCGCGCCCTTCGCGTCGGCGGCGCTCAGGAACTGCGGGTTGTACTTCTTGCGGAAAGTTTCGTACTTCAGCACGTCGCTCGCCGAGACGCTGCAGCGCGACTGCGCGAACGCTTCCTCGAAGTGTTTGCGGCCCACGACCTGTCCGCTCTCGGCCGGTTCAACCGGCGCGCCGTCAGCCACCTCCTGGCTGCGCTCGAAGTTGATGAGGTCGCGCACCGCGGCCTTGCTCGCGTTCTGCACGAGCTCCGCCAAGTCCGCGCCCGAAAAGCCCTCTGTTTTCAGCGCAATGAACTCGATCGGCACGTCGCTGGCCAGCGGCGTCTTGCGCGTCAACGCCTTCAAGATGCTCAGCCGCGAGGGCAGGTCTGGCAGCGGAATGAAGATCAGCTGGTCCAGCCGGCCCGGCCGCAGCAGCGCGTCGTCGAGCAGCTCCGGTCGGTTCGTCGCGCCAATGAAGAACACGTTTTTCTTGACGCCGACGCCGTCGATCTCCGTGAGCAGCTGGTTCATCACGCGGTCGCCGACGCCGGTGCCGTCGTGGCTCGAGCCGCGCTGCGTGCCAATCGAGTCTAGCTCGTCGAAGAACAGCACGCACGGCGCCGAAGCGCGCGCCTTGTCGAACACCTCGCGGACGTTCGCCTCGCTCTCGCCGAACCACATCGTCAGCAACTCGGGGCCCTTGATGCTAATGAAGTTGGCCGAGCACTCGCTCGCCACGGCTTTCGCCAGCAGCGTTTTCCCGCAACCCGGCGGGCCGTAAAACAGCACGCCACGGCTCGGCGACATGCCGAAGCGCTCGTACTTGTCCGCGTGTTCGATCGGAAACAGGATCATCTCCTGCAGCGACTTCTTGACCTCCTCGAGCCCGCCAATGTCCTCCCATTTGACGTCCGGCACCTCGACGATCGTCTCGCGCAGACTGCTCGGATTGATCGTAGCGAGCGCCTGGTTGAAGTGGTCCATGTTCACCGCCATCGAGTCGAGCACCGCCGCGTCAATCGTCTCCTCTTCGAAGTCGATGTACTCCAGCTTCGAGCGGATGCAGCAGAGCGCAGCCTCCGTGCAAAGGTGCGCAATGTCTGCGCCGACGAAGCCGTGCGTGTTCGCGGCCAGCTGCTCCAAGTTGATGTCCTCCGCCAGCTTCATGTTTCGCGTGTGAATCTTCAAGATTTCCAGCCGGCCCTGGCTGTCGGGCACGCCGATGTCGATCTCGCGGTCGAAGCGGCCGAAGCGGCGCAGCGCAGGGTCGATGCTGTTTTGCCGGTTCGTCGCCGCGATCACAATGACTTGCCCGCGGTTCTTCATGCCGTCCATGAGCGTGAGCAGCTGCGAGACCACGCGCCGCTCGACTTCGCCGCTGACCTTGTCGCGCTTCGGCGCGATGCTGTCGATCTCGTCAATGAAAATGATGGCAGTCGCGTTCTTCTCCGCCTCTTCGAAGATGCGCCGCAAGTTCGACTCCGCCTCGCCAGCCATCTTCGACATCACCTCGGGCCCGTTAATCAAGAAGAAGAACGTGCCCGTCTCGTTCGCGACTGCGCGCGCGATCAGCGTCTTGCCGCTGCCCGGCGGCCCGTACAGCAACACGCCCTTCGACGGCTTCACTCCCAAGTTCCGGAAAATCTGCGGGTGCCGCAGCGGCAGCTCGATCATCTCGCGAATCTGCGCCATCTGCTTGCGGCAGCCGCCAATGTCGCTGTAGCCGATCTCGACGAGTTTGTTGATCTCTTTGCGCGAGATCGGCTCGCCGTCCGTGTGAATCACCGTCTCGGGGCACACCAGACCGTACGGCGACGGCTCGACGGCAACGACTTTGAACTCGACCGGCTTGAACGAATTGCGCACCACAAAGTAGTCGCCCTCGTGCACCGGCCGATAACTCTCGTGGAAGTAGCCCTTCAAGTACGTCTCGAACAAGTCGCCCTGCAAACCCTCAATCGTGTCGTCCACGGGCAAAATGTGCACGCGCTTTGAAAACGGAAAACTCGGCAGGTTCACAATAGTTACGAGGTCGCCAAGCTTCGCACACAAGTTCCGTCGAATGGCCTTGTTCACCATTATCTTGCCCGGGTCCAGCGCGTCGCACTGCAGCACAACCGCGACTGTTTGTCGTCGCAAACGGCCCTTGAGCAACACGTTCTCTCCCTTGAAAATATTCAGCTCAACCATTCGGCTGGGGTGCAGCAGCACAACACTGTTGTCATCGTTTATCGACTCTTCAACAATCAACCTGTTTGGAGAGCGTTTCCGCTCGGGCGCTGGCTGCGGAGTGGCACTCATTCTTTCTCAAATTATTTATAAAATTGGTAGATTTTGTGTCGCGGAGCCAAATCAAACTGATCACCGCCACATCGCGACCTGCAGGCCGTCGCAGACGGCCAGCGCGCTCGCAGTAGCAAACGCCCGCACACTCTGCTGCTGCCGGGCGTACTCGCCGTACAGATTCGCGCCGCTAGTTACAGCCTCACCACTCATCGGCGCCGCGCTTTGCGCGGCTTCCCAGCTAGTCGCGCAACATGAGTCTTCTGACTGCGGTTCAAGCTTCAGCGTCGCGACGAACATAGCGGAAACACAGCAGAACACGCGAAGCACGCCGTCTGCGCTTTTGAACACCGCAAGAGCCTCGGGCGAGAGGCACTCAAACGCGCCGCACAGTTGCGGCGCGTACTCCTGCACGGGGCACATATGGGCCGCCGCCGAGGAGACTAGCGCCTGCTGCGAAGATGACTCCGACCCGACGAAAAAGTAGCATTTCGTCGCCAGCAGCAACTCGGCGTCAAACACCACAATCATGGTTGCTGCACTCTCGCAGAGCTGTGCATCAGCCGCGCGCGACTCTCCGTCGGTCAACACCGCAAAACCGGCCGCAGCATCTGGTGTAGACGCCAGGCCCACGTCCGCTGACGCCTCACCGCCGCGGCGCGCAAGTGACCCTCCAGCTGTCTGCGCGACTACGTAAACTTCGTTACCTTCTTCTGCAACGCGCAATTCACGCAAGTGCCATCGCGGCGGCAGCGTAACTTCGCACTCTCCTCCAGGCAAAAGTTTTAGCTGAGTGCGTTGCCCCGCAGTGGCCCCGTTCTGCGCACCGCGCGGCAAACGAAGGGCGTCTCTGTCCGAAAGCCGATTCGGCAGCAACGTGAACGAGTCGGCGTAGCCCAGCACCATCGCTACTCTTGGCAGCAGCGCGAAATCGATGCAGCCTAGCTTGTTAATGCTGTATACTTTACGGTTTTCTAAGCTAGGCAGCTTGTGCACAAATATTTTACCGCGCGCAGTGCGCAACACAATATCATCTGCGGAAAAACGGCAAGTCACAACGCGGCTGTCGCAGCGTACCACCCCTGCGTCAGCCCAAGAGCGTCCAGAGCGGTGAAAAAGCAGTGCAAAATCCATGCTCGTGCCCACCGCTAAGTAGAACTCGCTGCTTGTCTTCTGTGCGCACAGCGCAGTCACGCATAGCGAGTGCAAGGTTACGGCGTCGATAGATAGAGCAGCGAGTTGTTTACGCTCTTTCAGCCGCAACGTATGCACTGCTCGCCGCGCGACGTCACGAATTACTACGACGCCTTTGCTGGCGTTGAAAAAGCATGCGTCTTCGAAACAAACCAACTCATCGGGAGTTCCGAAGAAGCTGGGCTGAAACTTGCGGGCGACGAGCCGCTGCTCAATGCCCGCGCATAACCTGACGCGCAGCGAACGAGCGCTCAACTCCAAACAGCGGCTCACTGCGTCCTGCCAGGGCTCGGACGAAAACAAGCAGCGCTCTGCCAGAAAATCCTGCCAAGCCTTGCACAGCTGTCTTACGTGCACTACGCTCGGCAGCGGCGGAACGGTCTGCGCGGAGGTTGCGAAATCGCAGTGCATCTGCGCGTTGCCAGCGGCACACGGCTGTTCGCATAGCAAGAGCAGCGCTGCGGGCGGCAGTTCTCCAGCAGAAGCGACAGCTTTTCTGGAAACAGCGTTATTTTGCTCGGCGCACAGCCAGTCGCTCAATCGCAGCACATCGCCACAGCGCGGCGGCGTGATGCCGAGCTCGCGAGCAAAGCGCAAATCTTCTGCGTCTACGTGCACTCCTTCGCGTCGCAAGCAGCACGATAGCGAGTTAAAAGTACCTGGGGCGGCGTCAAACACATACTGCACCCAGTGCAGTAGACCTTCGCAAAATGGCTCTGACTCCAACGCATAGCGATTCAAAAAGTTGTTCCAGAGAATGCCTAAGGAGCCGGGTTCGCGCAAACCGTGGCGTAGGAAGCAATGCGATATCCAAGAGTCGTTGAAAGCCTCTTCAGGAGTCGCGCTCAAGGTGCGAAGCTCGCTCGGGATCAGCGGACACTCGGATTTAAGTGAGTCCAACTCGTTGGAAAAAAACTGCGGGAGCAGCTCCGGACAGACGCTGTTGCTTTGCGCGATCAGCCGCCAGCTTTTTTCAAAACTGGCAAACAGCCGGTCAGCGCAGTCGCAGACGTACGAGTTGTATTTCAAGTGCTCCGCGAAAAAGAGACGAAACAGCCAGTAGCACACGAAGCCCGCATTCGAAACGTGAGAGCAGCAACTTGCGCCATCGCTCGCAGCGGCGAGCGGCACGTCACCTGCAGCGGCGCCTTCCACGTCGCCGTTTGCGTTGCCGTTTGCGTTGCCGTTTGCGTTGCCGTTTGCGTTGCCGTTTGCGTCGCCTGTCAGATCCACAGGAGCGGTGGGTGGAGCTCCGTTTGCTGTGAGACGCGGAACATCGCTCTGCTCGTTTACTGCGCCGCTGGAGGCTCCGCGAGACGCGCAACGAGTTGCGTCGGACGACACTACACGAGGTGCGCCAAAGCAGGGGTCGGAAGAACTGATCGGGGTCGCGTCGCGGCTCTCGGTGCGTAGAGTTTTGTAACGCTTAAGCGCGTGCCGTGCGTCCCGCAGCCGCACGACCGGCGCTTCGTTAAAAGACAAACTTGCGGGCGGCGCACGCGCGTCGCGCGCTAGGAGAAGCGCAGTGCGCGTGACTTCGTCATGGTTGCCTAACAGTGTCCAAGGAAAAATGTAGAACTCGGAAAAATCGCAAAGCGAGCGTTGCGCTAGCGCGTTGACATAGCCCAAGAAGTGATACGTCGAGAGCCGTTTCAGCCGCCAGTTGGCAAGCACAGTTTGCGGACGCAACACGTTGTTGACGCGACACTTCGCGCCTGCGCAGTCGAGCCCACGGTGCGACAGAAGATTGCAGTCTTGCAAGTACGTTAGCACGTAGTTGAGCGCGGCCGAAGAGTCAAACACAAGTCGAAGGCTGCAGCCGAAAGGCTGCAGAGCGCGAAAGTGTGAACAGGCTCCGCGTGCGCCGAACGCGCGCCGCGTGCCGCGCGGCCGCTGCGCGGCGAAATACAGATCCAGCCCGCAGCACTGCACGCGTCCGTCTGCGCCGCGCGCGTCGAGCAACGGCGAGAAGTAGGCGAGGTCTTTCGTGCAAAACCGGAGCGCCAGAAACTCGTCGTCTTCAGGCACGAAGCCCGGAAGCGGTCGGAACTGCGAGAACAGCGCGATTTTGCCTTCTGGCTGGCGCGCCGCGAAGACCTGGAACTCTGAGACGCCGAGCCGCACAGCGCAACGGACAGCGCGCAACCGCAAACAGCAGTCGTGCGCGCGCTGCTGCGCGAGCGAACACAGCGTGTCGACCAAGTATGGGCTGCTCAGCCAACAGTACACGATGTCGAGACTTTGCGCATCGAGGCGCAGATGCAACTCTGCGCGGCAGCTGTGGCACGACACAAACTCATCGCCACTTTCGAGCACTGCGCATTTGGTGGCCTCGAGCACTAGCTCTTCACCGAGACGGCGCACGGACCCGACGCTGCGCGCGGGCAGGTAGACGGCCGACGCGCGCGCGACGCACAACACTGCCGCTTCGCTCAGGAAAAGCGCTCCCGAGCGAACTCCACTGCTTACACTCAGATCCGAAACTGCGCTAAAAAACCAGTTAGCGG